ATTGCAGATGCGAGGAACGAGAATACAGCTGTGAAGTCATAACCCCGTTTAAAAAGGATGGCTGTGCTTAATCTTTCCTCTGACATTTTCCCAGTGAGGAGAAAAGAGGTGTGCGGGGAAAAGGTTCCCCGTAACGAGGGGAAAATGCCGCTGGCTTGAACTTCTGCGGACCTTCCCCCTTGGGCGCGGAGTCTGGAGAGTGGGTGCGCCCGCGGGCGTGATCCTGCTTAACCTGCCTGCGGTTCTGTTGTGCTTCGTTTGGGTTTTTCATCCCGCCTTTCCTATTTTTATAAATAACTCAAGGCGGCGAACGTACCTCATCCTCCTTCCTCCTGCTATTTTCCCCACCACAACAACCCTGTGAGGTGGGCTGGGCTGAGCGGGGGACTGGCCCAAAGTCACCCAGCCGGCTTTCGTGCCTCAGGCGGGACTAGAAAACTCGCCGCCTCCTGGTTTCTGGCCTGGGGCCTTCCCCGCTAGACCCACCTGGCTCTCTCTATTAGCACCATTCTTGCCATGTAATGCTTTCGCCTGGGGTGTTTGTTGGCCTGAATCCTACCACCACGGCCAGGGTTGCCGTTGCGTAAGCAAACCGACAAACGCTGGGAGGCCGTGGGTCGCCAGGCCCCGTGAGAGCAGGACAGGGCCTGGCGGTGGTCCTCTTCAGGGATGGGCAGGCGATGCTGGCAGAGGCTTCCTCTCCACCCCTGGAATTGTTTCGCTTCTCCCGATGTTCTTACTCGTAGCCCGCTGTGCGGAAACAGGTCTTCCATTCTGGGAGCATCCTCCCCGGCCGTGGGGGCGCCCTGGTAAGCCAGCCCCCCTGGACCAGCGCTTTCCTTTTTTTAGGGCCACTTTGGCTAACTGGGCAGAATGGCAGAGATGATCCAAGCCCAGGCAACCCCGGCCAACTCGAAGCCCCCGTGCTGTTCGGCACGATGCCATTGAAATTTGGGAACTGGTTTTCCACCAATTTCCAGCCAAGAAATTAATGAAACAAGTGGATTAAGCCCTTGGGGAGACTAGATTGAATTTACATCTAGCAGGTGTCCAACCTTCGCTTGCAAAATCTTGGACGCAAAGCAGGTTGGTCTGGGTGAATACTTGGACAGGAGACCACCAGGGAAGTCCAGAGCTGCTGGTTAGGCTGGAAAGTTGAGCGATATTCTGGAAGGAGGCAAAAGCAAACCACTGTTATGGCCAAAAACTCCAGCTGGATGTGCCCATGAAGTTACCAGGTTTTGAGCTTGACTCAGAGGAAATATTACCATTTTGCCCAGTTGAGAACAGTGAAATGCTCAAGAAACATTCCAGGATCAAGTCTTCCCCTTTGAGTCATGTCCTTGTCCTGTTCTGAAGCCCTGGGCCGCCCAAAGTTCGCCTGTCCCAGGTCTGGGCACGAGGGTGACCAAAATGCCTCCTCAGCTCCCAATCCACGTTTCCAACAGATTTGCTTTTCCTTTCCTTCCAGTGTAAGGCTCGTTGGGTGTTCCACGGACAAACTCCCGTCACTCTCTTTAGGAGCATGACGAATGGATGTATTCCGTATTCTAGCACTGCAACTTGGTTCCAGGGTTCAGCTTTGGGTAAATAAGAACCAGAAGTAGTTAATGCCAAAAGAACTGAGGTCCTGAAGCCTGAAAATGCAGGCTGAGCATCACTGAATTTGCAAACTGTTTGAGTCCCCTTATTCCAGAAAGGCATCTGATTTCTGTTTTTTCTGCAAAAGAGTTTTGCCCGTTCTCAGAGGCCTTCCTAGCTTCATTATTCCAGGGGCAGGGTAGGGTAGTGGCGAGAAACACCCTGTTCCAAATGTCTCCTTGAAATCTTTAGATACTTTAGAGCATTTCAGCATTTCTCTTTCTCTCCATAAAACAATACTGGGAATTTCAGGACATGTATACCTTACAGGATGTTTGTGAAACTTACCATTTAATCACATGCAAAGCCGTTTGAGCATTTAAGGAAACTGCTTATTGATATAGCTAGCTGGGTTCAGCTTTTAATCAGCAGTTTGACCAGCTGAAATGTAAAATGATTAATCTGCCATTTCCAGCAAGGAGAATGTTAATTGCTAATTTAATTTGTGGAGGGGCAGTTCTATTTTTCTTCCGTTGCTGCATATTTCAGAGCTGGCCATTGCAACTAGCAATTACTGGTAGAATTTTTAATTGACACTATTCTCTCCATTAAAACTTACTTCAGGATCCATATTGAGTTTTGACGATGTGCCCAAATGTGAAATATGTAATAATAGGCTGAAATTTATAGACAATAAGCCACTACAAATGATGTGATTAGTTAACATCCTGACCGCAATCATTCTAGAGCTTGCAGGGCATTAGCTGCTGGAGAAGGCTCAGGTGTGTATCAGCCAAGCTACTGTTAAGCCCCGAATGCTGATTCTGACAAGTCTGTTGATGGAAGCATGGCATACTTTCGAATGCCAGGTCAAGCCCTGTCTCCTTTTCTGGGCATTTTTGGAATGGTTGAAAGGACCTGCCTCACCTTTACTGCTGTCAATGGATGTTGCCTTGTTATGATAGAAAATATGAATTTCATCCTAATAAACTGCCTTGCTTGTGGGTGGAAGTCTGTAGGTAAGCGTTTCTCCACCTTAGCAACTTCAAGATATGTGGACTTCAACTCCCAGAATTCATGGCCGGCTGGGGAATTCTGGGAGTTGAAGTCCACCCATCTTAAAGTGGCCAAGGGTGAGAAACACTGAGAGTTAAGTTATGAGCCCGCTGACACATGTGGAAATTGCTGTGGGGTGCCAGCTGTTGGGCTCTTCAAGGCAACCAGCAGTTGGCGTTTTCTCAGCAATGCTGCCCATGCCTAGATTTTTTGCAAAGTTCTTAGCTATCACTGGGACCCCCCCTCCCATTGCTTTGGCATGAGAGGTCTGAACGCGCACCTGCATTTCTGCACACTACATGCCTGCTTTTGCATCTCCTTCTTGCACTTGGAGGCCTTTGGCACAGTGGCCATCGTCAAACCTTGTGTTTATCGGCTCGTCTTCCCTTCCAGGCATGTACAGAGCCTAATTTCTGGGCTGGGGGTGTCTCCCAATCAAGATCAGACCTCCCTCTCACCCCACCTTCCCTCAGTCACAGAAAGTGACTGGCCCCAGGCAGAAGTCTAGGAGAGCCCAAGGGGCTGTCTGGTGGAGGGCAGTTCCTCCCGCTCCCCCACCCCAAAGAACTTCCAATTTAATACCTGGGAGTGGCAAAAAAAGGGATAACAGGTGGAAGAAGGGAATAAACGGTCTTCTGATTGTGTCTTGGTTATGGATTTGACTGACTTTATCTTTTGGAAAAAAAAATCAATATTGGGTTATTTGGAGATTAAGATTAATTAAGTTGATAAGAGATATTTACTATATTCCTCTCTCCTGTTTGCTCACTAAGTATTTGATCATGAAATATTCATCTTGCCTGATGTTTGCTGGCATTACAACAATGCTGAATGGGAGGGTTTTGTCTTTACTGTAATTTTTTCCTTTTTGGTCCCTGGGGCATCAGTCTGATCCTCTCAGGCAACTTTAGAACCTGTTTCTTTTGGATATTTGCAAGGAGTAGAGCAAGCAAAATCTGATTTTACAGGGGAATATATGTTGCACCCCAGAAATAAAAAAGCCTTTTTTGAATCAAGGCCTCGGCCCCAAGGGCTATCTTAGAAGTATGGTGGGCTACGGCATTCCTTTCCACCCTCCAGATAGGTTGGGACTACATCCCCCATCGTTCCCAGTCATTACACAATTGTCTTGAGGGTGCCTGATTGGAGAGGAGGGGTTAGAGGCTATTGCAAACTGCTGGGGCTATTCCTAGTGCCCCTCTGTGAAGGCAGAACAGACCTTTACATCGTCTGTTATTGTTACTATGGAAGGAGAAAGATGAGGGATCCGGCTAACACCGAACACGTATATTTGCAGGGGGAAAAGTAAATCATTTGCCAATTTGCCCCCTGAATCAGATTAACCTAATAAAAAGAAATGAACTTGTGGGAAATGGAGGCTGCTGTCTTAGAAGCCGGGGCGGGGGGGGGTTGCCTGTAAGAATTCCTGCCACGGCGTGATCGTCCAGCCTGCGAGCGGAAGCCACGCGGCCGTGAAGCAGAGATGGTCTGAGTCTGGAGGGGGGCTATGGCCACCTCGGTTCCCCCCGCCAAGGAAATCCACAAAGGCAGGGATACCTCAGCGAAATGGGCTTGCTGCGGAACGTTCTAGCTGCTTAAAATTAGAAGAGATCCTGGATGTTGAACGGGAGGGGCACTGCACATTTATTACAGTATTAATCCACCATTAGACAAAATGGCACCCCGGTTGTAAGGGATGGGGCCTATCAAAAAGGGGGCAGGCAACGAGCAATCCTGCGGGTCTCTGCTGCCTTGTCGATGATGGTTTTTATCCGTTCGTTGAAAAGCATCATTGAAACATGCAAAGCTTTTGCGAAGGGCGGAGGGGGGGAGAATCAATGAGAAGCGCCGTCGATAAAGGTGAACCTTAATCCGATTTGTGATTCCGCAGTGGTGGTTCAGAGAAAGAGAAAGGCATCGGAAGGGTGGGGGCTTATGGCTCTGCACATGGCCCAGAAAGAAAGAAAGACCCCCCCCCCTCTGGTAATCCTGGAAGTGGCGTCCCTTGTGGTGGAGTCGGCCGAGGGTTCAGGCAACGGAAAGGAGCCGTTCTTTCCGTAATTATCTCATGGGGTCCTGTTTTGACCGTGCGCTTTTCATGGCGTGAGTTTGAGGAAGAGGGACGAGGACAGTGGGGCAGTCAGTGGGAACCAGCAGGGAGCCAGCCAGCCTGCCCGCCCTCTGCCTCGCCTGGCGAACGCCCCAGATTTCACCCTGCAGCACCCTGAGAGCTGTGAAGGAGCCCCTGCGGAGCCAGAGGATCCCAGGGCGCAGGGCAGTCCCTGCCTCCCAGGGCCGAGTGGGCTTCAGCCAGCAGGGCTCACTCCTCCCCTCTCTGGGTCTTGCCCGAAGGTGCCCACGGACCAGGCCGCCCCCTAACGCCTCGCCATCCCTTTGCCTTGCAGCGCCCCTCCTTGGCCAGCGCCATGGAGGGCCTCCTGCTGTGCGTCCTGGTGGTCCTCGGCCACCTGGCTCGAGCTCAGGTGTGTCCCAAGCGCTGCATGTGCCAGAACCTTTCGCCTTCGCTGGCCATCCTTTGCACCAAGACGGGTCTGCTCTTTGTGCCCACGGTGATTGACCGGCGCACGGTGGAGCTGCGCCTGACGGACAACTTCATCACCGTCGTCCGCCGGAAGGACTTCTCCAACATGACCAGCCTGGTGCACCTCACCCTCTCCAGGAACACCATCAGCCAGATCCTGCCCTACGCCTTCGCCGACCTGCGCAGCCTGCGGGCTCTGCATCTGGACAACAACCGCCTTCTCCTGATCGGGGGCGAGCAGCTGAAGGGCCTGCCCAATCTGCGCCATCTCATCCTCAGCAACAACCAGCTGCAGGGCATCTCCCCGGGAGCCTTTGATGACTTTGCCGGCACCCTGGAGGACCTGGACCTCTCCTACAACAACCTGGTGCAGGTGCCCTGGGAAACCGTCCGCCGCCTCCACAATGTCAACTCCCTCAGCCTGGACCACAACCTGATTGATTTCGTGCCCGAGGGGGTCTTCACCAACCTCCTGAAGCTGGCCCGCCTGGACATGACCTCCAACAAGCTGAAGAAGATCCCCCCGGACCCCCTCTTCCTGCGCATCCCGGTCTACGCCAAGTCCAAGGGCACCCCGCCCTCCTCCCTGGTCCTCAGCCTGGGCGGCAACCCGCTGCACTGCAACTGCGAGCTGCTGTGGCTGCGGCGGCTGGCCAGGGAGGACGACCTGGAGACCTGCGCCTCTCCGCCTGACCTCCTGGGCAAGTACTTCTGGACCATCCCAGAGGAGGAGTTCATCTGCGAGCCCCCGGTCATCACCCGCCACACGGGCCGCCTGGTGGTCCTGGAGGGCGAAGGGGCGGTCCTCCGCTGCCGCGGGGTGGGGGACCCAGAGCCCTCTATCCACTGGGTCTCCCCGGAAGGCAAAGTGGTGGCCAACACTTCGCGGACCAGCTCTTATGACAATGGCACCCTGGAAATCCTGATTGCCGCCATCCAGGACACCGGGGTCTTCACCTGCATTGCCTCGAATGCCGCCGGAGAAGCCACCACCTCTGTCGAGCTGGTGGTCAACCTGCTGCCGCTGCTCTCCAACAGCACCACCCCCAAGGTGCCCGAGGCCGTGGGGCCTTCGGACATCCTTACCTCAGCCATGGCCACCCTTCCTCTCGGTGCCAACGAAACGGGGGCCTCTCAGGACAAGGGCGTGGTGGCCTCAGAAATCTCGTCCTCTTCCGTCCTGATCCGCTGGTACCCCCAGTGGCACATCCCTGGCATTCGCATGTACCAGATCCAGTACAACAGCTCCTCTGATGACAACCTGGTGTACAGGTGAGCTTGGGTGCGAACGGCAGCACTTGGGAGTCCTGTGGGGAGGGGCTGCGCTGCCAGGGTTTATAGGGTGCCGGATCAGAGGAGCTGTGATGGGGGGGAACTTGGGTCCGGGGCCTTTTCATCCCAGAGGCGCCCTCACGCCCCGTGGGTCTCTCCTTGCTGGAGGAGGTGGATGGTGGGGAGGCTGCTCTGGTTGGGAGAGGCTTGCCATCCACCTTGGCAGCTCCAAGCAGCTGGGCTGGATTGCGCTTCCCATCCTTTCCATCCACGGTCCGGAGATGCCAAGTTGGAGGGGCTCATCCGGAGAACGCGAGCAGCTGCAGAGAGGCTTGATGCGAGGCGGGGAAAGGGTAGAGACTCGGCTGGTCCAAATTCCCGAGGCTCTCAGATTCTTTCTCTCTTTCCTGAAGGTCAGAGTTCTGCCCCGCCTGGTTAGAAATGCAGACTTGACAGTGAAATGTTGTGAGGTTCCAAAGGGCCGGAGGCACGTCGTGCCAACGCCTCGGCTGCTTTGCTCTGCCCCACTACTTGAGAAGCAAATCGAAGCGTGCAAACTGTTTTTGCCAAAAGGCAGGAAACAGTGTATTAAATCTAGGCCAAAGTGGTGCAAGCTTCCTCTTGTTGCTGAATGCGGGGGGGGGGGGGGGGAACAACCAGGTGCAGCACGTTGTCTTCTTTCCTTTCTAGGGTGCTGAGTAAACATTGCCAAGGACCCAGCATTTTGGAGCGCCAGCCCCAGACTGCAGACTACCCGCTGTTCCCCAAACAGGCTGATCAGACCCTAACCCTAACCCTATTCCTAACGGCGGCTGTGATTCCTTCCTTCCTTCCTTCCTTCCTTCCTTCCTTCCTTCCTTCCTTCCTTCCTTCC